TAGACAGGTCAGTGGTGTCTGTATGCAAAATTATGGACAGTTAGATATTGGGTGTCGAAGGTAACAAATGAACTGGGGCGGAGCGTTTACTTTGGTGTTTAATTACAGAACTGACCGTGTTGTGATTACTCAGCATTTACTATTGCTGGTGAGAGAGGCAGTGTTTGAGATGAAGTAGATAAATTATTTAGTTAAGTGCTGTACTTAACACCGTGACTAACTTTGAAATTAGCATCCTTCTCAAACAGTGAGGCCAGATGCCTCATGCTACGGGTGACTTGCTGTAAACATGTGCAAATACTGACAAGTCCTGAGCAGAGAGTGTAAAACAGGTTTATTAGCTTCCAAAATATTTGCTGGTATCGGTTACATGTGTTTGTAGAAGGTGGTGTTGAACAGGCCCACTCGAACCTGTCCAGGGGATTGGATTTGCATGCAGGAGGCGTTGAGCATCGTGTTTCTCCAGGGTTCGAGTAGTGAAGTGGCTGCTGCTCTTACTGAGTCTGTGTCACCTTTCTTCCTCCCTGAGAAAGCTAGCTTGTGCTGTTCTGAAGGAAACTGACTACCTGCAAACACAACTCTTTGTTTCTCTTTTGCATGCTTGCTTGCATCTTTTACAGAAGTGGGCTGAATGCTGTAGTTGGTTAATAAGCTTGTTTTGTCTTTCTGGTCAAAGCCTTACATGATACCTACTGGTATACCCTGAGCAGGCTGTCCAGGTACCAGGCTAGGCTGTTGGATACAGCTCAGTGCTAAACAGTTGGTTTAATGTAAGACTGGTGTAGAAAAACAACTGTAAAAATTACATTTCTTACTTCTATGGAAAGCTTGCATTGTATCTAAGTGCTTCACAATTTTCTCTGTACTTTTCTCAACAGGGTGTCACCACAGTAGTACTGTTATTCCTATATTATAGATGCAGTACTGAAGCACAAAGAGACCAGGGCCCGGTATCTCAAGAAATATTGAGGCAGGTCCTGCTGCTTTGAATAGGAGGTGAAGGATCAGATATCACTACAGGTCGATGCCTGGTGAAATGCCAGAGATTAGACGGAGCTTGTGGTTGAACAGGGAATTTAATTCTGCTTTCAAATCCCAAAGAAACACGCTTTCTCTGCAGACTGAAGATTCAGGGTTGTTTGAAAAAGCCACCTGGATCCTTACAAAGTCCTGAAGTGTTCTATTTTTGCCTATTTAAGAATAAAGTTTATAACTGGCTGTTTGCAGTGCTTTAACCTGATGCAAATAGAAGCTTCAGGCTGAGAGCTTTATTTTTCAGGTAAAAAGGGAGGTGATATAGTAATGGAGTGGTCAAAATAGTCTCTGTATTGCTTCAAGCTTCACTTCTGCCACTGACACTAAGAAACTGCACTAGAACTTTGTTGGAATCTGGGCTACCAAACAAAATAGTTTTGAATGGCTTCTAAATCATGTCTTGGACAGAGGTGTGCTGCAAAACACCCCAGGTGTTACAGTGACCATTTCAGGCGTCTAATGATGGTAGTCAGATGCTGTGAGGCTCATACCTGATGGTTTTTATACTTTGTCTTCCCTCTAGAGAAGACCTTATTTATATACTCAGGTGCTACCTAAACATCTGTAGCACTGACTAGCAAGTGGGACGCTGGTAGAAAAGAAATGATCTTTCAGGAACCAAGGAGTGAGATGTGCTGTGCAACCTGTGGTATCGGAGGATGAGAAACAGGATTGGAGCCAATGGCTGTTCGCATCTGTTGGCTCTTACATCCATCAGGATATCACAGTGTTCTTCATCGAGTCATGAAAATTACTTCTAGAAGTGTAAAAACAAGATCTTGAAATCTGCTTTTGCTTAGCTGTCCATCATGTAAAAGGAAATTGAAAGGATGAGATCCCAGATGAAGCGTGGCTTTTAAATTGCATACATGACATGAAAACGTAATCTTGTTTCAGACAGTGGCAGGATAAGATGGATAAAATGTATGCCTTGATCTTGCAGACTTAAGAAGCAGGAAGGATTTCCTTGCTTTCCTCTGTGCAGGGCAACTGGGAGGAGGCAAATATGTGTGGCTGTGACATGCACGTTTGTAGGGGGGTGCATGGGTGCATGGAAAAGCATGCGTAGTCATATGGCTGCATGCAATCTCACATATTTGCCCGCAGTGCTCTCGCATATGCGGCCTTCATAGCTAGTAAAAGCTGGTGATTATTTTTAATGAACAACTTAAGGTGCTTGCTTTGATTGTTGCAGGATTTGTAGTATGTGCCTACTGGAAGCCCTTGTCTCATCAGTTGTTTTTTACTGATGGGGTAGTTGCTCCTTTTCAGAAACAGTTCGTAGTCATTAACTAATATTACCACCGTTATTCTGTCCTACTCCTTCTGAAAATGGGTATCTGAATTATGTTGTGGGTCAGGCATGGAGTTTGTTTTAAAGCAGTATGAATTTCCCCATGGACCTATACCATTGCACTGCTTTTGGCAGATACGGATGTCCCCACAGCGTTTTAACAACCATAAGATTTTTTTTTTGTTACATTTATCTGTTACCCTGTAGTAGTTCCAGCAGGTAATGCTAGTGTATCTCTAGATGTATTTGATCTTAATGCATGAGTCTGAAATATGTAGCTGATTTTAAGTTAAAAACTATTATGTGAAATACTGCCTGTTTGAGGAAATTAAGCTAAATACTTCCTGCATTGAAAGTGGTTTGTTGAGCGACTCGGACTGGGTGAGAGGATCTCAGTGCTTGGAGCATCTCCAGAGGCTGCTGGAGAAAGGACTTGAAATAGGAACTTTAACTGTGCAGGAGTCTTTTTGGCTGTGCTGTTGGGGTTTAAATGGATACATACGTGTTTACGCGTTGTCATCTCTTTGTTGCCCTCCCTTTAAAACAACCTAGCTCTTCTTCCACTGAAGAGCAGAGGGAGAAGTAAGAACTTTTTTTTTTTGTGACAAGGTTGGCTGGCAGATCAAGACATAAGACTACCAATCTGTAGGAGAAATGTGTTCCATTCTCTGAGAAGTATATGCTCTGTATAATGTTGACTTCTTGCGCTTTGAGAATTTAAATTATGAAATATTTTTGTTTGCTTTCTTCTAGTGAAACCAGAAGGCTGGAATTGGAAAGAAAACTGGTGGAATACAAAAAATCTGATGCATACCTGTAAGTTTATTTAAAAAAAACCTTATAGACTTTTTTAGTTACAAAGACTACAGTATCACAGGATGCTTTTAGAATGTTATCTTGTTGATTTTGTAATGGTTCTAGGGTCTTAGAATGTCCTTAAACTTTTAGGAAGGTACTACAAGATATTCTGGGTTCTAATCCTAGCTCCCTGGGTTGTTTCTGCGTTAACTATTTAATGTGAAATGCACGTACAGTTTTTGTCCTTTTTTTTTTTTAAGGAGGGTGGAGGTTAAAAAACCAAACAAACACTTGTTACTCTGGCCGTGTATATTAAACAAGTGTTCAGATTTCTGTGTTTGCATTCTCTTGTCCTACTGATATTGTTATATACATGTATAACATGCATGAGGTTATAAGCATTGCTACTGACAGCCTTATTGAGGAAGACCAAATGATTTGAACTTGCTACCAATAACCAAATTACCTGTTAAGTTCAGTGTGTTTGCTTCTCTTATGAACAAAGCTTCTCGCTTTTTATCTCCTTTTTATATTTGAACTGTGAAATTCCTGCCCTGAGCAAGTTAGAATGGAGGGGAACAGATTCCAGAATTGGTGGCCTTCCAGTGAGCATATGAGTATCGAAAGATCCTAGCTTTCTTATACCCTATGTAGTTCTATGTTTTGTTCTTGTTTTTTGTTTTTTTGAGTTTGGGAAGAACTTTGCCATAAATCTGTTCTTAACATAAAATAGCATGAAAAGCATGTGTTGTTTATTTGAAATTGACTGTAGAAGCCTCCCTTCCAGAAGAGGATCTGGAATGTGGTGTCTGCATGGGTGGAAGTCTCTTAGCTTGCCAGGAACGGCACGTGGGTTCCAGAGAGGAGCAGATTTTTAGGCATTCTTGTCTCTGTAGTGTTTGTTTTCTTAGCTGTGTTTTGTAAAGCCAGAGAGGTGACTCTTCAATTTTAGTTCAAGTGACTGAGGGCTAGGTGCAATCATGGCCAAATCCCTTGGAGACTCTTCTTCTGAAAGAGGGACTTCAGAGTAGAAAATCGAGATTATCTTGAAGAAAAAATACCTCAAGAGGTGTGGAAACATGCACGTGTACTTTTTCACTTTTAATTTGATTTATTTTAATCCAACAGAACTTGAACTGGAGTGTCTGTCAAAATATTGGCACTTTGGGGGGAGTTAGGTTGCAATTTCACAACCAATTTAAGCTGACCTATAGGCAGGTTGAGCCCTAAACAGATGAGATCCTGTCTGCCCTTGGTTCATGTGTTCCCTTTAACACTAATACTTGTCCAGCTGCCTTTTAATCAGACAAAAAAAAATAGGTCTGTCTGAAAGTGAATCTGTGTTTTTTCGATGGGTGAGGGAGACTTCAAACGGATTTTCAGTTGGATTGCTCTTGGCTTAATTTGCCATGTGTGTATAGTATATCGTATTGGCACAAAAAAGAAAGAAGGGCCTGGAGTGAGATGCCCCTTCTGGTGGCAGCATGGATTTAGGTTGATTTAAAGCAACTGTGAAACCACAGCCTTAGTTCACAGTATGCTGGACTTGCAGAACATGTTCTTCTAAATACAGTTTTCATTTTAGACATGCGTGTTAATTCAAAGCATAACCCGTTCCAAACAAACTTATGAAATTTTTGAAATGTGTTTATCTTTTTGAGCACCAAACCAAAAATCCTTTTTAAACCTTAAGTTATACAACCAAAAGGACGTCACTGTTATATAATGTAGCTTTGGACAGTTGGGCAGCTCCTACATAAATGTTAGTATGTATGTGCCTGAAGAAAAGTGGTTGTAATAGAAATGTTTGTTTTAATTTCATACTCCTTAAGTACATGTTCTTCTTCTTCTTTCTCTTGCAGAATAAAACTAAAGTACATGAAGCTGAAAAAATACTTGGAAGAAATAGACGAACGACAAAAAAGAGCTCTGCTGCGAAACCAGGCCATTTTAAAGGAATTGAACCAGTTTGAAGCTCATATGAAAACTTCAAGTTCGGAGCTAATTCAGAAGATGGAAGTAACTTTCTAGAAGACTTACTGCATTAGTGCTTGTCATTACTACAGGGGTTGCTGAATAGGTTCTGTCTGTGTATTTTGCACATCCAGGCTGGTGAAACTTCATGCCATGTTTGAGTGCTTAAAGCAGATTTGAAATAAACCCAAACGATACTAGTAAATGAGGTGGTAGACACAACAGTAGCTGCAGAGATAGTCAGTAGCACCTCACAGAACTGTACCTTTGGCCTGTACTACAGGCCAGTGTCCTTATGAGTTTCTTGGAAGTGAGGGAGAATTGACATCAAAAAATTGTGAAGATGGATTGTATCATGTTTGGAGTTACAGTGGTAATAAAACAGCAGGTCTAGGTTAGGACAAGAAGAGGACTAGAGTTGTAATATTTTCATAAACTTTTTTATTAAGATTATATTTTACTAAGGCTTTCTATCACCTAAAAAGCCACAACCTATTTCACTGAAGCTGTTTCAGGACATGTTTTTAATTCTGCTGACGTGATTGCCCTAAGCAGGCATAGCTAGGCTTGTCTCTACCTATTGCACTTTCTTCACCAAAAAAAAAGGTGTAAGAGTAAGTGACTTCTGTTAAAACAAATTACTGTGTTGGAACTATTTGGACTAAAGCATATCTAAAATGAGTTTGCAGTCAGTTCTATTACTAGGCAGTCCTGTTGAATCACTTAGGTCTTTGCTTTCAATGGTTTTATGTGTACATATGTTTGATTCATTTGCCTTCAGAGCTGTAAAATTTAACTTTTTCTCTGGGCTGGTAAATTAAAACCCAGGGAGTTTTCATCACCTTGAGTAATTGAGATGTTACTATTTTGTGTTACTTCACTGAAGTAACTGAAATATTTGGGATATTACAAAGTGATATAGATTGGAAATGATCTCAGATTCAAAGAAATGGCTTGTGCTCATGCCATTTATATATGGAGTCAAATTTTGGGGGGCTGAAAAATCAAATCTTTTTTTCTGGGAGGGAAGTTTGTTTATATCTGCTTTTGAAGAGAAGCAGTGTTTTTTGAAAACATTTTATGGGGACATTTATGTGATTCTGCCACTCTTTTTTTTAACTTGCTGGAATAAAAGAGGGGAGGAAACAAATTAGTTGGGGTGTTCTAAGCCCCTGTTTTGTGATACGAACGTGATACTGTGTGGTTGTCTAGAACTCAGCTGTGATGGCTTTTATTTGTTTGAAATGCAGTTTGAATTAAAACTGGAACAACCTTATCCAAGTATATTGTTTTTTCTTCCCCTTTCCTACTCAGGGACACATGCAATTTCATCTGAGATAGTAGAGCTTAGACTATGATCCTTTTAAAAGGAGTTGTTTAAAAAATTCTGTGTTTGGGTTCAAGAAATACGCACCAGCACCTTTGGATGACAATGATACAGGGCTGAAAGAAAAGGTGTGGATTGGCTGATCTGGGGGGTTACAGTTACAGCAACTATAGGGAAAGAAAGGTATGAGCACTTCTGAAAATAGGTAAGAGAAGGAAAGAGCCAGACTGTAACATAAACAGGGAGCAGGAGGGAGGAAAAGTGTGAAGCAATGTAGAAGTTTTAAAAACAAGTGAACCTTCATTTAAAATATTCTTTAAGCTTTTCTCATAGTATGCTCTGGAAACAACAGTAGGAAGCATTGTTAGAGCTTACTCTGAAGTAGGGATGTAGAAGCATCAATGTGCTTTATTTTTTTTCTTACTGTCTGGTTTGGCTTTCACTAGCTGCACAGGACAAGAAAGCCTTTGAATGCAGTTCTTCGTTTAGAAAAGTTCCTTTCAATAGATAAATGTATGACTTGAAACGTGAATCTGTTCTTTCAAAAATCCTCTAAACTATTGATACTAATGTTTATAAGGACTCAAAGACCCTTCATTAGCTTTTCTGCATCAGTGTAATGTAACAAGTCCTACACTCTAACTTTGTACTGTAGTTAAAAACATAATGTTTTTAAATTAGTTCTCTGATTGCATCAAGGATCTTGGTTTTGTATTAAGCAAAATGACTAGCTGGCTTCAAACTACTCTGCCATTAGTTGTAACTCACAATATATTAACCCTGCCTTCCAATGCTCATCTTAAAGTAAATAGCCCTAATCTTTTCTTTTGTCTCTTCAAATGGAATTTTTATGCCTGTAGTAATTTTTAATGCTTTTTCTGGAATGCCCTCGGTATCCCATTTGAGATGGAGTGATGAGAACTGTTCATGTTAATTAACGCTCCCTTTGAGATGTCGGTGGGTTTGTGCTTATGTTTCTAGTTTGGAAGGTCGCTTTTGTGTTGTCATGGACTTCAGTGTACAGAGCAGGTGCCTGGGGGCTTAATAGCTGCTCTCCCTGCCTTTGGAAGTGAGGAAGCTCTCTGAAGATACAGATCTCTCTCATGGTGGCAATTGACTTACACTCATAAACCAATCATCTGGCAAGCATCACATGGCTGCATACCTGCATTCATAACTTCCTCGCACAGCTATATTCCTGTCAATGGCTGGTCATTTTTATAGCCTGTTGGGTCTGGTGACATTGAAGAAACATCTTTCCTTTGCTTCAGCTTAGTGATGTACAGTTTAGAGACTATCCCTGGGGTGGCTGTGCAAGTCTGTTTTGTTTCAAAGCAGATTGAGGTCAGGAGTATTTTGTGATGCTAGATTTTCCCTGTTGTGTTTGGGGATTTTTTTTTGAGCAACCCTCCTACATACCCCTGTGGTAGGCTCTTACAATGTATTTTTGTGAGTCACAGCTGTGCCATGGGCTGATATGCATGCAGTGTTTCCATTCATTGCTTCCATTTTGGTATTTCTGTGCCATCCATTTTATTTTTGCTGGCTTAGACTTGCTTTTTTTGAGCTGTTAAACAAAGCACAGATTACATACTCTTTATACTACAATTATGAAAAGCTACCTTGTTGTGGAGAATTATGAAGCATGTAATCATTTAATCTAGCATGGAAGTACAACTGACAGAAATTATTACTTTTTCTTTTTTTTTTTGTTTGAGAGAGAATGTCCTTTAAGAGTGCTTTATCGTAATTATGCACACAAGTTATTACGTGTTGTAGCTGAAAAAAGTTTTTGTTTTTGAAAGATTTGCTATTTTGTTGTTTTCTTTTTTGTTTTCTCCCTGTGTTTGTCTGCAGTCTGTTAAGTATTTTGGGGGAGTTGAAGTAAAATCACTCAAGCTTTCAGGAAAATCCGGTAGTTATATCTGAGTTTCTTTTGAATTTAATTCTTGTGAGGTTAGATTCTGTTTCTTAAAAGTTGTTGTTTTGTTGTTTATAATTTTATGAAAGGCTTCTGTTGCCTGGAAGACAGAAGACTTGCTGAGTACACCATTGGTATGAAGTGCAGGGTTGGTGAAGTTAATTGTTCTAAAGATTTACCTTTATGCATATTACTTGATGCAGAATAAGTGTTTTCATTCAGGACCAATGTAACTTGTTATTGGGGTTTACATTTACTAACAAATAGGATTAATTATAGGTGCTGCATGTGCCTGGCTTTAAGCAGTAGTCCTACTACGAATGCATTACATTTGGTCAATTAAACAATGTAGTGGAGGTGAAAATGTTTTACGCAGTAGTTTGTTAGTAACATTAGAGCAAGTTGCTTTTCATGCTGAGCTGCTCTTTATAACATCTGCCATATATTTTTCCTTATAAGAGCTCAATGAGTTGTAAGATGTACATAAAAGAAAAATTCTGAAGCTCACTTAATCCCGAAGTAATCCCAAAGCAGTGGAGTCATTGTCTTGATACACCAGAAATTATACTTTAGTGTTACAAAACCAATTGTGATTAAATAAATTTGAATTAGCAAATTACTACTATTTTGTAGACTTCTAGATTAAGTGAATGAATGAATGTGTGTGAAAAACCTACTGAAGGTTGTGTAGAAGTCATAGCATTTGTTCAGGTAAGTGGTAAAAATTAGGAGAAAAGGGGGCTTCTGGCTTTCACTTAGAACAAGTGAAAAATGTTGCCAGGATACTACAAATGAAAGTGTATCATTCGGAAAGCAGTATTTACTGATTTGTGGTTTGTTGGCTTTTTTTTCCTCTATTTTTATGTAATGGATTTTTTTTTTTCTCCACATTTAGGAATGGTATGGGAGAGAAATTAAAAGTGCGTTGTCGCTTCAAGAGGGCAGCTTGTCAGCACGAGGTGACGAGGAAGAATACAACAAGCAGGTAATGCGGAGAGTGTGTGTGTGTGTGAAACGTGTTTTATTATACTGATGTTCTTTAAACTGAGCTGCTGCATTAAGAGGCAGACAGGGCGAAGCAGTCTTTGTGGGGATTTTTTGTTGTGGCAGCTGTAGTGAAATATTGCTTAGAGCCTGAGTGAAGCAAAGAATCTGGGTAAAAAGTGCAATTATTTTGATTAAAAAGGGGGAGAAAGCTAAATGCTTGTGGTGTTTTTTGTTCAGCACAGAAGTTATAATGTGCAAATGGTATTCTTAATGAATGATATTTAAAAAAAATGCAGATGTTGATTTGTGTAGTGTATTTACAGTTTTGTGCATTTTGACCTTTTCTCAGAAGAAGCAAAAAGAGATTGCCTATCTAAGTAACAGACAAAAAGACTGACAAGGAATACTTAAATATATTCTGCTATATATCTGCAGTAATGCAGGCTTCTAATCCCTCCTCCTATCTCCATATAAATGATACAGTTCAAGACCATCGCTGTTTTCTTTGCTAAAAGCAGTAAAGCTCTTTTAGATGAAATGTCTAAAAACATCTTGTAATAACTTGGAGCATGCTGGCAAGAGTAGTCACTTGTGACTATGTGTGAAACCCCCTCAGCTAGTCGATATTGTAATAAGCAAAAATGGTAGCATCACTCCATTATTCAGAAAAGCCAACAGCATGCTTGTCCCTTAGGCTACAGCATTCATTAAGAAAAGCTTACTGGGCTGAAAGCTGGAAACAGATGATAACGGGATATGATTTTCATATTTAATGCATTCCTTGGAAGAGTATGTGTGCTGCAGATTGATAGAAGAATCAACTGCTACTTTACTAAAAGACTTTCTAGTTTGCCCTATAGCTACCGATGGAATCATTCAGCCAAGAAATTAACTTTTTCCCCTTTTACCTGCTTTATGTATCTGCTAAGCAGGCTGCCTGGCTGCCAGTAAATGTTATTATGCAGTTAAATGTTTGGTATTTAAGACTCTTATCAGAAAAGAAACAGAGGCCACACTATTTTGTTTTTATAGTAGGAAGAAGGTTTTCGTTTTTCTTTCTTCAGTGCATTAGCAGTCGTTAATCTGAGTTTACAGGAAGTTTTCCCTATAGATTAAAAAGTTAAAAACCTTGAATTTAGAGCATTCTTTAAAATGTAATATACAGAGCAATGAACCCGAGCAACCTTGACTTATATAAGCAGACCTCCAGCAGTTTGTGAATTAGATTTTTAATTCAGACATGTGAAAAGGTGAGTTTAATTTTGAATACTGGGTTCTTTGATTAAAAGCAGTTGGTGTAGGAGATGCTATTTCTAACCTATAGAAAAGTTGTTTCCACGTAAATACTAGAACATCAAAGGATTGCAGTGACTTAGACCTTAAAAAGAAAAAAAAAAATGTTTTGGACAGTTCAAGTACTTTCTGCTTTGTACAGAATTACAATTAAAGCTTGTTTGTGAACTTTCTTCCCCATTCCCTTTTTCTCCTTATCTCCCTTCTTAAGTGTGAAGGTAAGTTCATCTAGGCTGTGCATCGTTTTGCCTCGTCTATATGCTGTCTCTCAGATCTCCTAAAACTCCATGTTTTTCAGCCTGACTGTGTTTATTTCCCACTACCTTCACCTCACTTGAAATCAGCCTAATCTCACAGTAGAAATGTGTTACGGTGCCAGCGTGGATGTCAGCTCACCCTCCTGTGCAGGTGTCGGTGCCCACTGGCATTGGCAGGACAATGCGCTGAGTCTCTGTGCAGCATGTGCTCACGTGCATTGGAGACCAAGATGGACAATAACAGAATGCATTTTCTAGAGGTGCTTAGCATCCCTGTGCCCCTAAGGCACCGATGTGAATATTGAGCACTTCTCTGAGGTGCTGGGTGTGCATACTTCTGGACTCTTGTTTTTTTATGGGAATCTTTAATCTCATAAATCATATACCTGAACAGTGATCTAGAAAACCATGATCCTTCATGGAAACGACTTGAACGCTGTTATTTTGAAGCCCAGTGTAATGGCAGCCCACCATTACATGTTGAAGGAGTTCCTGTATTGAAGAGGTCCTTCTTGGCTGAAAGAGCTATGCCATTTGGGGTTCTGAAACCTTTGTGCAGTGAAGTCTGACTTCAACTTTGAAGCATTTTCTTGAAATCCTTGGACTTGTGCATCTTGGGAATGAGGTATCTGTTAGACGTTAGGGATAGGGTACCTCCCAGGAACACTTTTGAGTGCCCAAGCATCCTTCCCTGAACCAGGTGAGCATAGTAATCTGCTGCCAAGCAGAGACCATGCCCTCTTACAAGGCCTAATGGAAGGGACTTTGTTCTCTTCAAAGCACTTTAATAATAATAAAGATTGTTAGTGGAGGAGCAAGTGGGGAGCCTGCATGCATTCCCTCCACTCCACAACTGAAAAGAGGGCTATAAGTGTGCTTTGTGAGAGGGTTCACTTAGCTCCTGTCTGAGTGCCATGAAATTCAGTAACTGATAACTGTTTGCTGTTTTAGGTAGGTTATCTACTGTTTTGTTTTTGGTGGTAAAAGTTGTACCTCAGCCAACCTTATCTGTCATGCAGTTATTTGGAGAATCCAAAGGCAGCGAAGAGATTTTTATTCTGTAAACAAGAAGGAGCTTGTTGGCAATGTACTTCTGCTAAGTGCTATGAAGCACTCGTACCTGAATTGCATTTGTTTTGGAACACTAAACTCGGGAGCTGTTAAGTCCATAGAATACCTGCATTTTAAAGCAGCAAGTCCAAGACCCCAAAAGTAATTAGGAGGAACCAAAGAGTAGTGGAGATAGAATAAGTTGTGAACTTGATCTCATTAGCAAATCTTTACTACTTAAAAATAACTCCATGGCTTTTTGTTCTGTTTCTTGTTATGTGGAATTTGAGCCTTTTAATGAAACAGTCACAGACTAGACAAGATGTCTTTGTTTCCTTTAAGCTGCGTTTGGCAGCTGACTTTGTGTGGTAGGAAGAGGTCAGCCAACAAGAGAGAGAAGAGAGGTATGGAGGTGACTGTAAATTGCTTTGCTGTGATTTGGGGCTGAAAAGCAAGCCGTGCTTAGTATGAACAAGGGCATTACGGTAACAAATTTTGGCTTTGCATAAACTGTCAGTGACCTTCTGGTGGTGGTAGCCACTCCTTCTAAATTGCTCTGACTGGGTAAGCTTACAAAGAGCAAAAAGCAAGTATTAAAGCCCTGGAATGTAGAAGCAGAGTGGTTATGTTGTTGGAAGTGATTTTATGCAAGTTCAACAGAGTTTTTGGATGAAAGTGTCATTTGAAATATTTCCACTTGGTGCCCGAGTTCTCTTGTGGAAAATAGAATTTCATCTACTTGGTGTTAGCTCAGTAGTTCTTCCTGTTTGGTGTGGATTAAATGGGGGAAAGAACACAAAGAAGACAATGAAGAAAAAGATTTTGTTAACATACCGTGAGTGAAGCTGGATATATAGACAAATGAAGACAGATGTAGGTTTCAGAGTCTCTGGGGACTCCTCCCTATCCTGCTGCATTCTCAAAGACCCATCTGTGCCGTGCTGTATGTCCAGGAGCTTCTCTTGCTACTGCTCCTTGGAGAAGGATGCCCCTCCATTCAGACTTTGGTCCAACTGTTGATGGTATTGCTGCACCAGACACAAGCGGAAAAACAACCAGCAAAGTTCTAAGATGCACTGAGTGTTAAAGTTCGGCTTGGCCAAGGAGGATCATTGGTGGTGGTGCCTCGCTGCGAGGCTGGTGGGGCAGCCAGCTGCCATGGCTGCGTTCAAGGGACTGGGGTGTTCTGGAGGATGCCTTGGAGCCACGTCTCCTGTCATCATGTCTGCATCGTTGCCTATAACACCATGGTGTTGTAGAGCTGGCTTCTTGTTGCTTCCACTCCCCAGCAGGCCAGGGAGCATCTCCAGAGCTGTGCTGCTGGGAAGGGCAGCCCCCAGCATCACAAGTGCTGGCATGGCACCAGGAGGGTGCTGATCTTCGGGATGTTTGGGCACGTGGCTTTCGGCTTTCACAGGTGCTTGAGAACAAAAGGAAATGGGTAGTGGGGTTTCTAGCTTTACAGGTTTTTCTTTAAACCAAAGGAGGAGGTGGTTGCCCAGGAAATGAAGCTGTTGTAATGGCTAGGAGCTGTGTCTTCGGTGGGATTTCAGCAGCAGCTCTATGGCAGTTCCAATAGCAAGGTGCACAAAGTTCCAACTTGCTGGCAGCTGAAACCATGCCTACAGCGTGGGAGATGACACCCATCAGCTTATGTTAGCTTGTCTTTAAGAATTATTTTTCTACAAATACTTTTTCTGGGTGACATGTGCTTAGTTTCAGATGTGGTGAAGTAACGAATGCCTGTATTAGGCACAAGGGGCTTCACTTTTGCTGGTTGTAGTATTTTGTCTACTCCTTCTGTTTCTTTGAAAGCAAATGGACAAAAAAGCGCTTTCTCTGTATCAAAGCAATAGTACAGCAAATTCTTGTGTGATACTTTTTCCTCCAGGAAACCGCCGTGCAATCCTTGAAAAACTTCAGGTATATAATGCTGCCTGCTTGTTTCCTTAAGCAGTCTTCCACCTGTGTCTTCCAGAATCCGTGGGTTGTGAGACCAGCAGGAATTCACTCCGGGACAGCCATGTCAAGAGGCTTATATCACCCAGCAACAATCTTCATGGGCCACCACATGTCAGCTGCCTGGAGCATGCAGCAGAAAGCCTCGCATGCTGCTGAGAGCCACTCTGTGCCTGAGCCCTGCTCCCACAGACAGGCAGCGCTGAGCAGTGATGAGACAGGCAGATGCTTCCCACGGGTGGGCAGTGACATGCCATGTACGAATAAACCTGACAAACAAGATGCGAAGGCAGATGTCCTGGTGTGGGAGAAAATGCCCATCACATCCGGAGTGGCATTGGCAGAGAGCAGCATGCGCAGTAGCCTTACTAATTTAACAGAGCGCAGAAATCCTGCTGAATGCCGCTCGCTGTCACCCAACAGAGGAAGTGTGGAGAGCAGGACTGCTGACTTAAACAGTGACATCTCAGTGGAGGAGGAGGATGTGACCCGTGAGCACCTGGTAGCAAGTGCAGAAGACAAGCAGCCTGTCCCTGTGGCATTTGTTCCTGAGCCCGGCATCTCTGAGGAAGACCAGGAAAGCATCCCAGGTATGATGGAGCCTCTGCCCGACTGTGCTGGAGCACACATATCGCAAACAGATGCCCCAGGCGGCTGTTTTTTTCCCTACACCTCTTGTATTTTGCTTGAAGTATACTGTCACTCTCACTTACTTTTTTCTTTCTTCTTTTGACTGTATTTACTCCCAGGCCATTCATCACAGGCTCACTGGGTGCTGAAGCTACTCAGTTTTTCACTTTCCAGCTGGGGTATTCTGATGCAAGACAGCTCTATGCTTCTACTCTGCTTTGCTTACCTCTGTTGGCAGAGTGGTTGTTGATCATCCTCTGCTCCATCCCTCAGGGTTTTGGCTTCTTTCTGCTCTTCACTGTGAGCAGACAAAAGGGAGGAGGAGGATGAAGGATGTGCAAGGCAACAACCAAGAGCAAGCAGCTGTACTGGGCTTTCTGCATCAGTACCAGACCTTCTGCAGTCCCTTTCAGTGGCTCCTAGGAGGCTGCTTTGTCCTGGCAGCCTGCTGAAGATGGACCTCAAAGTTTAGAGGTGTCCTATTGGATGCACTCTGCTCAGCTGGATGACTTCTGTAAAATAAAGCCTCCTCATCCATCTGTGGCATGCTGTTCTTCTGGCAGATGTGAGACTTGGTCAAGTCTAATCTGAGAACTAGGGGATGGCACCTCTATTAGAAAGCGAAGATTTTTTTTCTCTACTGTGACCACAGTTGTCTTGAAGTAGTTTGAGCCTCATTTTAGGAGTTTTAATGTCAACATATTTCACTGGCAGCATAGGCGACTTCTCTTTCAGGTTGATTTCCTTCTTCAAATGTTTGTGCAGAATAGCTCATCCATTTCTGAAAATGAGATTTGGAAATGCAGATCAAGAACCAGCATTCTCATGAGTTAGGCTGGATTAACTATTACTTGTTTCATGCTTTCTTGAGAAATGTGGTGCAGGTTCTCCAGCTGGGATGTTCTCACACAGGGATGAAAGACTGTGCTTTCTCTTGAAGGCTGCTTCCCAACTTCTCACCTTTTTTTTTTATATATTTTTTTTGTCAAGACAAAATGTGTTCTCTCCTGTTTTTACTGGCTTGGTTGCTTATTCTGAAGTTAGCTAACAGACTTGTTTTTGAGGTTGCAGTGACAAAGATTTGTCTCCAAGGAACAGTTTCTTCCATTTTTAAGACCTGGAAGAAATGCCGTGCCCTGTCAGTTAACATAGTGATTTTTGACTTAAACTAGTTTTCCAAGCTGCATAAGAATAGCTAAAATGGAGCTTTTTAATGGGAACTGTTGGCAACCCTAGTGATGCAGGGACTCCAGCTCTCCTGTAATGCTCACGGCTTTCTGTATAGATGAAAGCTGCCATCCCCATCTTCTGATGATCTTCTGTACTACTTGCTCTTTTTCTCCCCCTCCCTATAGCTTTTTCTTTCCCATAGAAATCTATTTGCCTCTGATTTTCTTTCACCTGGCACACCTTCCACTTCTGTGCTGCTGTGAGAGGCTGTTCCAGCTGGAGCTGGGGGGGATGGATGGTCCCAGGGCTCTCCTGGCAGCTCTGTGCTGCCCAAAGGACAGTGCAAGGGGTCAGTGCTGTGTGGCTGGAAGAGGAGTGCTCCTTTCATTTCCGCAGTGGGGTACCTCTGCCTTCAGAGAAACCATGCAGCTGGGTTTGAAATTAAAATGGGCATTTTGTCACAGCACGGTGATCCCTTTGGGCTGCCCACAGGGCTTGCTAGGTCTGCTGCCAAGCGCGTGCTGCAGAGCGAGCGGGCTGATGTCAGCCAGGTTTGGATTTGTACGGCATAGTCTTCCAGCTCCTGAAAGTTGGCCCTTTGTGCTGCAAGGGAGGGGAGCAGAAGGCGATTGGCTCCACTCTGCATAGCAGGAGCAACGTGTGCCAGGCTTTGTGCAAGGAGAGGAGGTCCTGGTATCGGCTGCTGTTTATCACAGCCCTCCATAATTTGGGCCTAAGCTGAGCAAAAAAGCTGGATATGCTGTACCATAAGTAGCTGCATGGATACTGCTTAACTCAAACCCATGGTGAACTTCATGGAAAACTGGGAATTTTTATGACCAATGTTAATTTATTCCAACAATTGTTGGTCCATTCAGTTTTGGTGTTTTTTAAAAAGTAGGTGTATTTTTTTCTTTCTTGGCACGCGATTCAGCCCTGTATTCTCCCTCTTTAGAAAAGGTAATTAATGTGCTGAATTTAAAAGCCTCTGGGCAGGCATTTCTTCTGCAAGGTTTAAAAAAACTGTGAAAGAAGCCTCTTCAGGTGCATTTCCCCCCCCCAAGAAAAGCTTTTTTGAAGCTTTCTCAATAAAAGTTTTTTTTTAAACTTCTTTTTTCATTTCTTTTCCAGATGCAGTTTTGGGAGGTAGATGCTCTTCATGGCAGGGCTCCTTCTAGCTGGTGCTGGGCATCTCTCCCAGATGCCTCCAGTTGCAAATCTAAGCTGGGAGTGCAACCAGGGCCTCCCCAAACTCCCCCTTGCGAGGGAAGTGCAGAAGGACACAGAATGTGGGGAGAGGGCGTGGAAAGCCTGAAAGCAAAGCAAAGGCAAGAGGGGTGCTTGCTCATGCCTGCAAGTGAGATTGGAGAATGCACCAGGTGGCTCATCCTGGCTTAATCCCATGCACCACGACTCGTTCCTTGGTCCTGCTAATGTTTGGGGAGTAATTTTTTTTTTTTTGTGGTGGTTACTGTTCTGCAGGACCCCAGGATGGCCTGAGTAACGGGCAACCATCACAGGCAGTGAGCGAGGACAGCAGCAGCGAGCCCCTGGTGTGTGCAGGCAAGGGGATGCTGATGGCAGCAGGGAGCAGGACGTGGGCTGGAGGCACCCACCCCGCAGAGGTATTCTCTCCGCAGCCATCCAGCCCCTGTGCAGCAGAAGAAGAGCCCCTGGGCAGCCTGGCAGCAGATGGGTATGTCCTTGCGATCCCTAGCCCAGCGGGGCAGTACCTGTCACAGAGGTGTCCCCAGATGTCTTTCCAAGCTACAGAGGACAGCTGGCTCTGCTCCCTTGCTGTGCCCCAACAGAGCCATGCCACTGCTGGCATCGCTGCGTCTTGTGCCCTGAAGGCAATAATCACTCTTTGCACGCTGCTTTTCCTGACCACAACAGAAATAGTGAAGGCTTTGCTACCAGCTCGTGTACCTCCCTCACCTTGTATGCCGCTGGTGCTGCGCTTCCTTGCCTTTGGGCTGGCCCCGCTCATACGTGAGATGTGCCCAGCTGAAGTGGCTGTCATGGTGCAGGGCTTGCTTGGAGGCCTGCAGGCTGAATGAGGGGTGGCTGTGGGCTGGGGAGGGAACACACATGGAGGAAAACAGCATGCTCACCTGTGGAGGGTGAGGAAATATTTTTTTTGCAGTGTTTTTTTTCCCTGTTTGTTTGTATCTTGATCTGTTTAGCACATCTGTTCTTCCTGTATCCATGTTGACATTGTATTAGGAGCTGATTTCAATATCAGTCTGTTTTTTAATAAACGCCATTTGAGCAGAAGCTAATGGGCACCAATATACACTTGTGTAACTTCACCATTTCACATTTGCATCAGACTGTTGCTTGCTATAGAAACATCATCTGATTTACATCTAAATAGCTTTTACAGTTTTTCTTTTGTATAACACCTGTTAATCATAACACTTTGCAGGGAAGTTGCATAGAGTGCTTGCCTTTGCTGGAGAAGTCATAGCTGAGCGGTGGTAATTTAACCTTTTGTTCTCTCTCTGTAGATGCTAGTGATGCCTAGTTGTTCATGAACTGATGAAAATATTATGCAATGCTCTTGAAGCCCAGCTAAATTATAAGAAAGGTTTCGCTGTTTGCATTATCTCTGGAGCATGACTAAAACCAGATTGTAAATGTTTCCTCTCACATTATGTTGAGCTGAATACCTGTTTCTCAAGGCCATACAAGTGTGATCTCCTCTGCTGTGTGTTTCTGCAGAAGAGATACAAATTTTATTTTTTTTTTTACCTGAAGACTAAAATGCAGATAAAATTTCAGAAATGTCAGGCATGGAAGATGGGAAGATGCTGTGGAGCGATACGTAGCCTCTACATTATTGAATTGATAACCAATTGTTTTTAAAGTCCATCTCGCCAATGTACTCAAAATTCAGTGCATGTTCCTGAGTCCCGCAAAATAATTCATGAGCTGAAAGTCTTGGAGAAACTTTCCCAGTAATTAGCAGGTGAACTTCAATTACATAAATAACAAACTATGTAGGCAGTTTTGAGGTCAGTGCTCACTCAGCAGGCAAAATCCTTCTTCCAAGATAGGAAGTCCTATGTTTTAGGTTTTGGGTGAAAGTTCCTTTCTTTCCTTACTTTAGAGACATCATTTTAACTGAGCTCTTGTTTGGGGGAAAAAAAAAAAGTTTGTTCCCCCAGAAGAAGTGTTTGTATGTTGTATTTTACTTCAGAATTAACCTGTTTCTTTCCAGTCTAGTTTCAGCCTGCCTTTTCCGGGTGGAAAAACAGTGATCTCGTGATAATGCTGTCAGGTGGCCAAGGAGAGGTGACGCTGCTGGGAAGGGGCTCCTAGGGCAGTCTCTGAGGCTGGGTTACAGCCCACAGTGGGGTGATGCAACTGCTGGCATAGTCACTGAGGATGGGGCTTCTGCTGAATCACGGCTGTGTTGGGGTGCTGCGGGGCAGGTGTGCTTGACTGGAGGCTGCATGCATGCCTCTCCCAGCTGCCTGGCAGGCACAGGTCTTCAGGGGACTTGCTGGGGCTGCCCCCAAGTCTCCCTGTGGCAGGCACCTACCCCGCTGCCTCTCTGTCCTTTTGGAATTCCTCAGGGCACCCAGTGCTTTATTCAAGGGCTTAAAAATGGGGAGCGGGAGGGGGGGGGGGGAAAGGGTCTCTGAGAATTACTGCGTGGAAAGATGATGGCTGTTTTAAGGCTGGTGTTGAAGGGGTGGAGAAAGGCAGAGCTTATGCCTGTGCTGCTTCAGCTGCATTGAAGAGGGCTTAGCACAGATGGATTGTGCATTACAAAATGTAACACATAATTCAAGCTGTCAGCTTAATCAGACTGTTTCCAGGAAGCAACCTGTAAAAGAGAAGGACCTCTTGTTTGCTGACCTCTGATCCGTAGCCTGCTGCAGATTGTCATACATTTTGTTTTTTCTTTATGTTGGTGTCCCTTCCTTCCCCTTCCCTTTTTATTATTGTATCCCTCTCGAGTGGCACCCTGGAAGGACCACCCAGGGGGAGGGAGACAATAGGAAACGAGCCGGCCGCTGAAATACAGGTTTTGTAAGACTTTGGGGGAAGAAAAAGCACTGTTTAACTGCATATGCTATCTCCCTGGTATTGTTTTGCTGATCAAATGTCTAGGAAACTCCATGCAATGCAGGGCAGCTCCTACTCAAATGCTCACTGTTGCCAAACTGTCTGATGGAAAACAAAACTTTGGTATATCTTAGCATAATTGCAAACATAACGTGAGCTGTGGCGCAAAGCGTTTTTCAGTTGGTAAAGCGAGGTTGGCTGTGTAAATAGCAGCTTCCTCACAAAAACCTGTGTATGTGGATAGGCCCTGTGGGCTGGTGGAGACCTGGGCTGGAAAGTGCCACGCAAAGCGGGCAGCCTGGCTGCGGGGCGAGCAGCCACTGCACCCCTAAAGGCTTTGCCTGCTTTGTTTCAGGGTGAGGAGACCTGGTTCTGACGCAGCGCCTCAGTGCTGCTGTCCTGGGCAGTGAACGGGAGTGCTGCAGAAAATGCAGGGAGGAAGAAGCTGGCATCTGGCCATCTAAGGAAAAGAGCAGAGTTTTAGGAAAGCAGAGAATATTTCCCAAGGTGGCATGTTGCCTTTCCCAGTTTTGTGTGCTTTTTTACAATGCATCAAAGAAAAGTTGGCTCAAAAAATCAAGCTGATCTCTTTCAACCTTTTGAAACCACCTCTTAATTTACATTGTTATTACACTGACCATTTTTCTCAGGCGTTCTTTCCTTTTTGGCATATTCTTTTTGACTTTGAGATATTTACATTTCCCAACAGCTGGAGAGAAAAGGCTAGGGATGCAAGAGCTGGCTGGCTCCTCAGTTGGGAATAAGGAGAATGTGCAGAAAAGATTTCAGTCTAAAAAAAAAAAAGTTTTTTTAAATCAGGATTTGCAATGAAGGTAAAGCTTAGCTGTTGTTTGTTGTTGAGCTGCAGGACATAGTGTTAGTTTGCTGCGTGTGCTTATTGTACCTTGTCCCACCACTCTCTGGTTTGTGGGGAGGCCAGTTTGGCTGCAGCTCTCCCATGCCCAGGCTTTTCCTAGAACTGGCCTCTAAAATACAGTTTCTTTTGAAAGCTGTGAGCCTCTGTACAGCGAAAGGGAATGTGGATGCAAATAGGCAAGCTTTGCTGGGGGCTGGCAACTTTTTTTTCTTTCTCCAGAGCGTATCACCTGTGCTTTGCTGCTTCGAAGAGCTAAGTGAGGGTGTTTATTTTTATAACCTCCTTGACAGAAATGTGTTTAAAATGTCCCTGACAGGTTCTTGCAAGCCCTGTCTGCACCCGGCGCCCTGTCGCTCGTTCCTGGTTGCTCTGCTGCTCACCCACCCACAGCAATCACGGGCATCTTGCTGCTGGTGACATGCACAGTGCAGATTGAGCTCTGCAGGAGCTGCCTATCAGAGCCGGCCTCTTCATGCTCACAGTTGCATGTGGCCAGCTCACAGAGCAGCAGGCACCTGCAAGCAAGCACCCGGGAAGCCTCCCTGCGCTTCCGTGGCTTCAGTGTCATCGTTGAGCTGAAACATGGCACTCAGAACCATGTACCTAATTATTTTAACAAATGCTTGTGCCTAAACTCATTGCCTTTTGCAGCCCTGCTTTGCAGATCGTGCCTGTGAAATAAAAATATGTTTCCATGAAGGAGACCGTCCTCTTAAAGTGGCTAATAATGCTTTGCTGGGGTACAGAATAACAACTAGAAAAAACCTTTCTTAAAGGAGGAAAAAGTCACCAAACAAACCCCTTATGTTAACAAAAGCGGGACCAGATAACCCAGACTGTTGCTCAGTGGCAACAGGCTCCTAATTGCAAGAGCTGGGAGGAGCTTTGTGGTTTTACTTAAAATTAAATGTCAGCCTTCTTAAGCTAGGATTTTCATAAACACTTAGTTGGAGGATTTCTGGGGAGTTACAAGGAAGGGTTTACAGGACTTGGCCACGCAGCCCGCCGTTAGGAATGGGTTTCAATATCACAATTGATTTGGCCAGAGCAGATGCACGGTGCCGTTTCAGCTTTAACTTGTCATGATGTTTCTACCCTCATTGTTTGCGTAACCAAACCCTGGCAAAGACCTGGTCATGGGCATGCTGCTTTTGGCTGTCCCACTGGTTATCCCATTAGCCAAGGGCTATATGACAGGCCTTGCATCCACCCCTCTTCTGGCTGTCTCTCTGGTCTTCAAATAAATACCTCACATCGCACCTGCTTTATTTTGCAGCTTTTGTAGTCAGGCCAGCAGCCTGAAAGAAGATGACCTTGAAGCTGGAGAAGCAGCTCTCTGTCATCAGCCAAAGGCGTTACTGCAGAGCCTGCGGGGTGGCCACCCCCTCCCTGGGAACACACTGTGTGCTGCCCGTGGAGCTGGGGAGCAGAGCAGGTACGTGGGGACCAGCCTTCCCTGGGGGACTGGCATCCTTCTTTCCTGGGTGTATGCCACAAGGACAAATTAGAGGTCTCTTTAGTGCAGCAATGAAAACGTTTTCATTTTACAAGCAAAAATAAGGAAGTGTATGCTGTGAGTTAAGGGCAAAAGGGGCTGCACGTTTTCTTGCTGCATACTGACCTGCCCCTCCAGCCCCAAGCAAGCAGACAGGCAGGGTAGCTCCCATCTGAGCCTTGCCTTCGGTTGTGTTCCCTAGGCCAGACCTGCCACAGGATGTGGATGTACTGGATGTACAGGATGTACTGCAGGCTCCTCTGAGAAACCCCATGTCGTCTGTGGCAGGGCACTGCTCTCTGCTCACTGAAGAGGTGGTGGCGATGTTTGAAAACCTGCTGGTTTCGGGGAAGGAAGTGCCAGATGACCAGGTTGGTTTTGGTGTCCGTCCATCTGTTTGGCTCAGGTCACTTGCAGCTGCTGCTCACCACAGTTGGGCTGCACCGAGCTCCCCGATGGCTGTTTGTTAGAGAAAACTCCCACAGCTTAGCGTCACTTGTAGCATGCTGCACGTCTGTGATAACGGGTGCTGGGGTTTTCCGGTGCACTTGGCAAGTTTGGTAAATGCTCACTCTTTTCCCTGCCTGGGGTTGTTAAAGAGGGAATCATGCAATGGTGCAGTGATTAGTGGATTTTCCCCCAGTGTGCTGGCCTTATTGTAGGCAGAGAGAAACGGAGACACTGCTAAAAACAGGTATTTCTTAGGGTAGGATGTTCTTCTGCTGCTATTCTTATAATTCACAGGATGTATTTGACTTTTTCCTATCTTGCTCTTTCTGTGTTTGGAAGAGAAACCTGAATTCCACAGAAAATGAGGTACTGGAGGCCACGGGGGCACTGAAGAACCAAGTAACCACAAAATGCATGACCAGAAGTTGTTGTTTCTCAGGATCTCTGTCCCCTTTAGCATGCTTTCTTCTAGTTGACATCGGTCAAAGTGGGAATTTTAATATCCTGTCAGAACAACGTAATGTCTAAATCAACAGTGCCAAAGGACTAAATTGCACTGTTAAAGTGCAGCAGGCCCTGCCTGCGCTTCTAACAGTACCCAGTACCTGGGTCCTGGGGAAGGACGAGCAATTAGTGCTCATTTATCAGCCCTTGAAATTGCTAGAAAGTGGGTAAGGAGAGAACAGACTTTCCGTGTGTCTCAGGACACAGGCATAGGTGCAGCGTGTTGCCCCGTGGAGCAAGCAGCCCTCTGAGGTCTTCAGAGGTGCCTGCTCTACCCTTCAGATCTGGTATTGATTTAAAGAAGCTAAAGAAGCTCATGCTTGCTGTGGTGCAAGTTTATCGCAAGGCTTAATCATCTGTCTTTCTCTGTGACTTTAATAGCTTTTTATCAAGCATGATAGTGTTTTTTTCCTTTTTTTTAAAAAAAAAAAAGAAACTGAATTGTCTGGTATACTAAATATGCAGCTGATTTTACAGATAACAGCATCTTTGTCCTTTTTAAACTTTAATGTGAAAGATTATAAGCAAACTTAAGCAAACTCTACAGATTTTGTAGGAGTTATTTTTCCTTATGTACAAATGACAGGGAAAGAAAGGAAAAAAGTGTATGCACACGTACATATGCATGTATGAACATATATGTAATACTGCCAGAGCAAAAATATTTGTTAAAGTTCTTTCCCCTCTAATTTTTAATGAGAAATTAGAAAGCAGTTTAGGCTATATTTTGGTTTTAATATTTGATAGAAATAAGGATAATGAAATGTTTTGGTTAATTATACACTTTGATTGATAGCCAAGGTAACTTTTTTCTGTCTGTGGATTGTATTCTGCCTTAAAACATTCAGCATATTAAAAAGATGAACAAGGAATGTGTCCTTGCACTGGTGGCAGATAAATACTGTACATAAATTTACGATTGTATGTAAAAATTTGTATCAAGTCAAATCTCCGTAATGCTGGCTTTATGGGTGAATAGAAGCAGTAACAATCTGCTTATTGCTACTTTTTACTGTGGCCTACGTATATGCGTTTAACTCTTATTTTTCCATTTAAAAGAATCCATTCACTTGAATGTAATCCCAGGATTCATTTTATGCTTTGAAACATCGGACTTCCAAGCAGGCTGCACAGAACAGTAGCTATATAAATTACTATATATATATATTTATATCTTATAGTATTTTTATTATGTGCAGGAACAGTTGCTTTACCATGAAGATGTATGTAATGTACTTTTAACTTCGCTATGTTTACACTAAACTCAGCTCCTTATAAATAAGTCTGCTTCCCATCTAATGTGTTCATCATTGAAAGTAATGTTTAATTAACAGAGGTCAAAATAGTGCTGCTACAGGGATCTGCACATGCAGACAAGAGAGAATAAACTTGATAAATGTGTAGTAATAATACAGACTAAATTCTGAATTGAGCCCGAAGGAAGCCAGTGATGGGTCAGGTTCTTTGGCTTCAGATTCACTTACCTCAGTGATGTTTTGTTGCAGCTATTGCTGACAATATGTGTTAATTTGCCTTTTTGCTGTGCCTGAAATGGAGAAGGAAAGACTTTTTTGTTGTTGTTCTATTGCTGTTGTAGCATGTGCCATCCACTCTTACGTTTTGCTTACAGTGAATGCATAAGGCACAAAATAAGAACAGTTTCCAGAAAGCATAGCTGTTAAAAGAATAATTCAAAGTTTGTGTTACTTGAAGGCAGAACGCAATTGCTGGGCTAGCACTGATTTAACTCAGAGGTAATTCAACATCTAACAGAAATACCCTGGAAACAGATTACTGTGTGAAGTATAGATTAGCCTAAATGTATGTTGGAAAATGCTGCTGCTCGAGACTCAGGATAATAGGGCTGTGGTTATTTTTATTTTTTTTAATGCTGCAGGCTCCACCGCTGTTGAGAGAGGTCCTTCCAGAAGAAGGGTGTGGAGATAGGTCATCTATTCAGAGTAATGAATCATCTTACAGCTTGCCATCGATCCCAAATGATGGTGGGGAAATAAAGCAGGCAAAACATGCTCCCCAGCTTGATGGCACAGGAAAGCAAGGTAACAAGTGCTAAAAGGTCTGCCTCTGTGCTCCAAGTTACTGCTGTGCTCTGCTGCAAGGTACAAATGTGTTATCCAAATCTGCTGGGGACGGTTACAGCTACTGGCAAATGACAAATATATTAATGTGATTTTTTCCAAAACATTGCAATGTTGTTCGTCGCTATTGTTACTTCTTAAAATGAACGCTACCTGTTGTGACTGTTTTCTTTCTGTAGAAGATCGGATATTGTGGTAATTATTGAAACAGGATCTATATGCATATACGTATTTTTAAAATGTTTGTTTAGAAATTGTGTGATATCTTAGCTGTGTTTTATTATGAAGCCAGACTGCAGAACGTGTTTTCCAAAGTAGGAGTGTTGATGCTAAGAAAGGTGTGCAGTGCCATTTCAGAGCCTAAAAGGTGGATGTTAGTGAAAATCCAGTTAATTTCTTTAGATAAGGACGTAATAGATTAGTTCAGTGTAATAACTGGCGACAGCAACTTGCTCAGCCTGCTCTCATAGCATCCCTTACATCAAAGTCCAGAAGAGACAGGCAATTAAGTTGCAATGCTCTTTACACAGCAAATGTAAACAAACTGATTTAGGCCTTCTAAATCCATGCCACTTTTATCTGCAGAGGAGATGGGGACTTTGATTTAAACTAATTTTCAGTGGTTGGTATGATCTATGCTGTCGCTGTCGGGCTTCTGGACAAGATCGCAGAATTACTGTTGGCTGTTTGTTTCTGAAATCCCATTGGGTCTTAAATTATTTAAGACATTTGGTTAGCTTTTCCTTTTTCTCTGGGAGCTACAGAGGCACAGCAGCGCTGCATTCGAGTAAAGTTCACAGTAGGCGCCTCTTTTAAGAACGGTAATGGATAGTTTAGATCAATAAACAAGAGATAACAAAAGTGAGAAATTAAAGGGAGTAGGGCTTAAAAGAAAACAAACCAGTCTGATCGCCACCACTTTGAAATGTGTTTCATTATGGTGTGTTCACATACAGAAGTCACAAGCTGGTGTGAAGATGAGAGCCAGGAAGAAAGCGTGGTAAAAAAAGATTCCTATTACAGGTAAAAGTAATGGCTGCGTATTAACCTCAAATGCAGTATTCAACTTTATTATATAATCAAAATATGGCATTTTAGGGGCTTGGGTCCACTAATAGTGAGTAAATTCAGCTACTACATACCGAGCACAAAGATTAAATGCAGGATCATAAAGTACACGCTCATGTTAATGTAAACCAAGATGGAAAATAACAGTGCCTATTTAATTCCTTGTAATCATGTTACACATTTAAACCATGTGAATATCCCGTCATTTAGCCTTTCAGGTCCTAGTATCAGTGTTACAAAGGTCAGTCTCTGTGGGGAAGATCCAGTAATTATATGGCAAACTACAGATGTTTCTGATTTGATTCTTTTCCTTTCTCTAGTAATTGAATGTGTATCATTAGAATAAGCGCAGGGAAAAATCCCGCTAGACAGTAAGCTGTGCTTTTGCCTCTGTTACAAAAGCTGCCTGATAACACCAAATTTTTAGCAATCAGGTTTTATCAAACCGTGTTCAGATCTCCCTGCAGCAGATGCATTAGGCTTGCTTAGGATCCTGTGATGCTGTTGCTTTTCAGTTGTGAAGTATCAATAACGCATTAGTATTCAGGGCAGAGCTCTTTGCAATAAGTCTCAATTTTCTTTTGCCTGATTTTGCAAAGTGGTGGGCTGCTTCATTATAAATTTTGATGTTTGGCTAAATATTTATTTATGCAGGTGTGTACTCTGACAAAAAGGTGCGAGGGCATCTGTTGCATTTGCTGTTCTTGTCTGCTCTTTTACGGCTTAAAAATAGCCTGTCTTTGAGTGCAATTCATTTCTCTATAGAGATTTTCCTCTGCTGCTTTTTGAGCCTAATTTGCAGGTGAAATATAAAAATTTGCTTCTTGTATTCCCGAATTACACTGCAGCATTAATATTCTGATGTTAGCCACATAAGTTAGATTTTTTTCTTGAGGTTTTGAGAGTAGAATGCTTTCCTTTTTTCCTGCTGCTTAAAATGTCCTTCACTTGCACACGGCGATGTATTTCAGAATGTAAGCTGCACTGATTTTTTTTCAGACGAATTAAAAGCACACAAATTACAAACCACTTGAATTTTCAAATGACAAGTGTGATTTACTTCATGAAAAACATTTATCTAAAACTTTGCAGATTTTGTGATAGGTTTAATTTTCTTTGTAATTTAAAAGGATTCAGATCTGAGGATTGCAGTTCAAGCACCATAATCTGTAGACAGTATTGACCAGAATGATGTAAAGAATGGCGCCTTCCTCCATCTAATGACATCACAGATTTTCTTAATTTGTTGTTTTTTGTTGGTTTTTTTTTTTTTTGGTAAGGAGAATGTGAGCTCTTGAATATCTATAGTTCCCAAGGCTTCTAGTTTGCTTCTCGCCCATGCTGGATTTTAGAAGATATCAGGACTCTTTTTAGCTATGAAGCCTGGCAGATTTTGTGTACAAATGTGTCACAAATGTGTCAGGGAGTTGTCCACTGCAGTTCTCCTGCTGGGGAACTGGATGGTGTGCTGGCTCCTGATCTGGGTGGCAGCTAGTCAAAAGCTGAACTGTGTGTACATCCCCTTTCCCTTACCTCTCCCTTAGCTTTCTCACCAAATGGATCTGCAAATACTAATACTTCCCATTTGTAAAAATGCTGAGAAAATCATACTTCAGATTAGAACACCAAGAGCAGTAGCTGAAGTTAAAGCAGATTCAGAAGGAAAGGATTTTTATTTACTACTGTTGTTGCAGCATGTTTGCAGTGGCCTGCGTTCTCATTGTGTCTAAGGGTGAGGCTTTTCATATCTCACTTGAAAGCAAGGTCCTCCTTTCAGCTGTGATTCATCTTCAGTCCGTGATCTTCTCCAGGCTTCTCATTCTCTTCTGGCTCCTTGCTCTTCCAGCCTGTCACTCTTTGCTTTTTGCTCATCATTACATGCTGCAGGCTAGCCCTGGAGTATTGAAATTGTTCAGTGCCCAAAATAGTGGCAGTATATCTGCACCTTGCTTTTTGGGCTCAAATGACTTTTTAGAGGGTTTGGTTTGTTTTTTTTTTTCTTAGATAGGCTGATATTTAATGTCAGTTAAATACATGACCGTTTTGTTGTACAACTACTTTTGACTGACATTCTAGTTAGGGGAAATGGGCAGCTGCCTGTGATGGGAAAGCTGCAGGGCTGTGAGTATCTCCTTGTCCTGTGTGGACAGGCAGGTGCTGGCTGGGAGGGTGCTGGGGTGTGAGGAGGGAGTGGGCACCTTGGGTCCTCTGGTGCATCACCAGCAGAAACCAAAAGGATTTTAATCCGTTTCTGACAACAAAATGCTTTACTGGCTCTGCAGCAGTCAGGGCATCGCATGCCTTTGGTGAGCTTCCAAAGTCTCCATTTCAGAAGAAGGCACCACACAAAGTTCTCTGGCTGGCTGGCCCAGCAGCGCTGGGTGGTGTCTGCCCTTTTCTTCTATTCCCATGTGAAGTCTGGCACCTTGCAAAAGGCTGTGTTGTGCTAAGTGACCTTAAAAGGATTTTATTTTGTGTAAGGTACCACTCAGCTTAAGTAAGGCTATTGGTATCACCCATAGAGGGGAGAGCTTGAGATTTCATTAATAGCAACCTCATTTTTACAAGGCTCTGAGAGAATAGAGGAGTATATGTGGGTTCACTTTAGTTCTCTTCCTGGATGCTTTGTTTTTTATCTTGGGAAGACATGTAGAAAAAATTAAGTGTTCAACTTTTTTGCTATTTCTGAGATAGGTGAATAATGGGAGATTAAAAAAAAGAAAATCTTTTTTTTTTTGGTTTTGCGGATGACTTTAAAAGTCTCGTCAGTAGGAAACTGCTGGTTTTATTGAAGGGGCAGGCTTGTTAAATCTTTAACAAAAGCAGATTGTCTCCATACCCTTCATTTATGTATTTGATTTAAATAGATGCTATAGTTGAAAGCATTAGAATAAAAATGGCATTACTTCTCTACTCATCAGGCTTTCATAATGCCTTGGATATCATGTGCCATCTCCTTTCCAAGTAGAAAACCTTCCTTAGAAACAAGGAAGAAAAACCTTCCTAAGAATTAATAAAACAAAACAAAAATCTTTATATAGTGTAAAAAGCCATGAAAGGGCACAAATCCAATTCTGTTTTCCTTTTTCAGTCACCCTTAATAAGCCAATAATCCTGCCAACACTTTTCCTATGCCCAAGCATCCTTCGTACTTCGAGCTTGAAATTAAAAGGTTCCTAAGGTTCTACTCGGAGTGTGCTAATAAAGTCATTAATAAGTCTACCCTACTTTTTGCTTCATTTGATATAAATCCACTAGAAACTACTGTTGGGGGGGTACAGGTAACCTGTACATGATTAATAACTGTTGGTTTGTTGTGATCTGACAGAAGTACACTGGGACAATGTAAAACTGCACACTTTGTTTAAATTAGTTCAAGTTACATTCTCCAGTGGGTGATATTTTACATTGCTTAACATGAAGAAGTTTTGGAAAGACATCCAAGTCCTTTTTTGGTTGCAAATTCAGTGTGAAAGATCTTGGTCTCTCTTTAAATGGGGGCAGTGACTTTTAGGTAAGTGTTCTCACTGGGATGGCGTGCTCCACTGGGATTCCCTGAGTCCTTTGGTCATCAGACTTCTCTGCTCTTGAGAGGGCAGCATCGTGTCTTGGTGTACAATTATGCTAAGAGTATTCTTTTCTTCCTTCAAAGGAAAGGGGAATATTTGTTGGTATTTGACCTATTTCTGGAAACTGGCTCCTGCACTGTTCTGCTCAGCTCTTAATTTGGAGATCTTTCATCTATATGCTCATCCCTCTATTGCATCCTTCTATCAGAAGAGCACATCCTCCCATTGGATGTGCAGGTAGGCCTTATCCTCTCCCTGTACCTGTTTTCTGCTTTATTGCAGGAGAAATCACATCTAAAAGCCTGTGTACGGATGACTCAAACC